TCCAACTGTGCTCCAGATGACGGTCAGTGTCCACAATATGGCTTGGAGCGCAGAACCTCTCGGGCCTGGGGATTTCCAAATGTCAGCATGTGCGTCTCTTTGCCTTAGGGCTTCCTTCAAAAGGCTGAAGGTTGCCTTGTGGCCAAATATGTCAGGGAATAGCAACTTCTTAAGAACAAACTTCCACCAATGACTTTTGTTTCACACTTGTACCACAGGGTGGGATAGCTTACATGTGTATGTTCTATCTGATTTTCCAGCTCCCTGTGGTCCTAGTTGTTTATGGTGGTGACTGTCTTTATTACACAGCCTGAATTGACCTTCTGTTTCCTATAGTACCTCCCCACTGATTCTGATATTCCTTTTACCTCTCAAATAATATCAACTAAAACCTCTCAAATAATTTCAACTCAGACTTGAGTTCAACTAAAGCTCAACTCAGACCTTGAACTCAAATTATGTCTTAGTGTCTGCTTCCAGGAGATCCACACTAGAAAGAAATGAATTATCAAACTAGCTCATAATTCAGGGGTCTATGTCACCTACTTCCCATTTGTAATGTGAAAATGCTTTAACTATAAACCCAACACATAGACTACAAAGATAAAGAGAAAGACCCTAAATAAGCAAAGAGATTTCCATCTTTCCTTCCCTCTTGCCTGCTCCTTGATGACTCCTTGAAGAATTTATTGAGCAAATTTAGGAGATGCAAACTCAGATGGCTAAGGAGCTAGGTAGGTGGTGTATATCTGTGAAGCAGGCACCAAACAATTGGAAATGTTTGAGTCTGTGGCAAACAGCGTGTCCTGGGAAAGATCTCATGTCCTCCTTTTCTTTTTCCTCCTATTTTTATATTGGCCAAACAAAACACATCATGATTCAAAGACAAACATAAGAACTGCCTCTGTATGATAGGTGATATCAGATTCTTTGTTTAGATGGATACCACCTTTCATAGGTAAGTTTTTCTTTACAGCAGACCAAGCAACTGAAATACTTGGGAGGAATACTGCCACTCAAAAAGTCTACAATAGTGCCCAAAAAATATCACTTTGAAATAGCCCAGGGAAAAAGTCAAAGAAGGAATCATGTATTTTTCATTGTACTCACTTTCCTTTCTAAAACATCTACATGCTGTCAACTGAAGATAAATTATCACAATTTTTCTCTTAAGTTTTGGCATGCTTGGTGTGTTTTTTGCAGGACAATCATCCTTGAAAAAAACCTTTTCAATTGCAACCAGGGAAGCTACAGATGGAGCAGCAAGAAATAGCCAGACTTGAGATGTGATGGAGAAGTTCAGAAGCCCATGGAAAATGACAGGAGTCACCCAGGGAGGCTCTGCGTTGGGTAGCATCTGCATTGTAAATGTGGGCAGAGGGCACATGTCATCTACCTGCCTGAATCTCTTATTCCTGTCTTTGAAAATCCATGACTACTGGGAAAGGCACGCATATGCCCAGTGTTCCCTTGGGCTCCTGCTGACATCTGGTCCTGGGTTGGATGTGGGATTGTTTCTCTCCACCCATACAGTAAATAATGTGTTAAGGAAATAAGCTGTTCGTGTGTTGGAAGTTCAACCTCAGCACTCCTTAAGGAGTCCAGCATCTATCGTAAACAAACAAAAATGTCATTTTTTTTCTTTTGCAAAATTAGACAACAAGAAGGCAAAATGGGTCCTGTGAGTGGGTATTGGTACTAGTGGGAAGGAGGAGGACGTAAGTAAAGGGTGTAGGAGGTGAATATAGTGGAAATATTATGTATGCATGTATGAAAATGGAAAAATGAGACCTGTTGAAGCTATTCCAGAAATGGTGGGGGGAGGGGAGGAAAAAAATGGGGAGGAGTGAATTAAAGAATGATATATTTGATCTATTGTAAGAACTTTTGTACATGCCACAATGTACCCCAGCACACAACAAAGAAAAAAAAGGAGTCCAGCATTGAAACAGCAACAACACCGCCTACCACCCAATCCTGTTGGTAGATGTCCTTTGTCTACTGCCTTGTGTCACTCAAATTTCAGGGTCTTCACTGCATTTTGGATGGGATGACACTCAACAACAGATTGTCATAACCTAGCAATAAACCATCAATTTTTTTATTTCCTAAATAATTAGGCCCTCCCAAGTGTAACCATTGACTTTTAGTAGGTGATAGTTGCTGTTCACTTCAAAGACTGTTTCCCATTCCTACTTGTGTTTCTGGAGCCCTCCTATCCAATGTATAAATGCTAACTCTTTGAAGGTGTGAAGTCTTGACTTGGAAAAGTTACCCTCCACAGCCTTCAGGTCACTTGAAAATCTGGTTTGGAAGCTTCTCATCTTGAGGAAACATAAGATTTAGGGTTTTAAGTGGGGTGCAGTGATTCACACCTATAGTCCTAGCTACGTGGGAGGCTGAGATTGGGAGAATTGTGATTCAAGGTCAGCCTGGGTGGGGGAAGTTCCTGAGACCCCCATCTTGATGAGAAAAGAGCTGAGGGAGGGGGTGTCGTATGCCCAGCATCTCAGCTATAGTGAGAAGTATAAAATAGGAGGACTGCACTCCAGCAGCCTGAGATAAAACTAAGACCCTATCTCCAAATAACCCAAGCAAAAAGGTCTGGAGGCATGGCTCAGGTGGTAGAATGCCTGCCTAGCAAGCATCAACTCCTGAGTTCTAACCTCAGTATTGCTATTTTTTTTTTAAATTAGGGTTTCAGGGGCTTTTCTTCCATTTTTTACCTTCTCAAAAGGGAATTTCCAGTCTCACAAAGGTGAGGCTGACTTTAATTTGCAGGGAGAATGAATGAGTATGAAAATGTTATAATGAAAGGGAGACCAGAGGTGTGCTGGTAAGTGCTTAACAACCAGCTGTTCGAAGGGGACATGAAAGATCTTTACTTGTGGTGTTTGCCAATTTTCATATCTGGTTTCATGCTATCAGTGTGAATTTTTGCAATGCTTGCTCCTTTGAGGTAACTATCTTAGAGAAAGTTTCCCAAAGAAGAAGAAAAAAAGCTGTCATTGGATCAATTGTCAACCATCTTGGCTATAAAAGAAAAAACCATGCAGCATCAAGGTGAATCACTATTTAAGGTACAATAGATTGCAGCCAAATCTCTCTTGACTGTCCATTCTAAAGTTGGGTGCATTAGTTTTCTAGGGCTAACACAATCCAGGTGGCAAAAATAACAGAAATTAATTGCTTAGCCATTTTGGAAACTAGAAATCTGAGACTGGAGCATTGGCAGGGGGCACTCCTCCTGAGGGCAGGAGGGGGAAACTGTTTCATGCCCTTTCCCCAGCTTCTGGTGACCAACTGGTCTTTAGCCTTCCTTGGCTTGTAGCTGCATCACCCATCTCTGCCTTCACCTTCATATAGCACTTGTCCTGTGTGCATGTCTGTGCCCAAAATATACTTTTTTCTTTAAAAAATAAGGATACCAATCATACTAGATTAGGGGCCCACCCTACTTCAGTATGACCATATCTTCATTAATCATATTTGTAACAACACCATTTACAAATAAAGTCATATTCTGAGGTCCTTCAGCACATGCACATTTGGGTACACAATTCAACCCTGTAACAGAAGGGGTGCATATGATCTTGTATTTCTGTTCAGACCTTTGAAGAATCCAATAGCACAGAAAAACTTCTCTATACAAGGGCCGAAAAAGACAGTGTGAATATAGACATTATCCAGGGTAGAAAAGAAAGAGGGGGTGTTAGGAACTTTCTGACTATCTTCTTACCCTTCAGATTCTGAACCTTTTCAGCAGAAACACATTTCTTAGTTTTGAAGCCTTGTCTGGAAAAGGATATATTGCCTAGCTTGGGGCCAAAATTTCCCTGACAGCATTGGGATCAAGTAGCAGTTAGAGCAGAGGCTAACCGGTTATGGCAAGGAAGGGTGCTGTGGAGCCATGTCTAAGTGGAAACACCACCTGAAGATAAGCCCCAAAGAGGAGAAGTGTGGATCAAAGAGAAGGAGACACAAAGCCAGGAAGAAACAGACCTGCATAGTTGGATGACATGAAGTTCTGAGGTCATTGGTTAAGTGTCAGTAGTGACTGACTGGGACAAACACTTTCCATTTGTCAGGCATTTTCCAGTGCTGGGCACTTGAATGTTTATCTCATTCACACCTCACAAGAATACCAGTCCCATGAGGGACTCTACATTGTGATCATTTTATAGTCAACAAAACAGTCTCAGCTGGGTAAATTTACTTGCTGATTGATTCTCAGGCACTGAGTGGTGAAGTGAGGACTTGATCCAGGAATACTCTGATCCCCAAGCCTGGACTCATGTCTTATCTGAGGTGACCCCTATCCTGAGGTCTCAGAGAAGGACCCTCCTTCCCTCACAATGTGGTGCTACTCTGTGTTTCCTTTCTGCCCTCTCTTTGGAGGCTCTGCCTTTGTCCCTTTTCTTTGACTCTGTCCACTCCCGGGCTAATCTCAGGAATTCCTAGCTGTACAATTTATTGTTCAGACCTCCTGCATGGGAGCATTGTGGAGTTGTACTTCTGGCTGCTGTCCCTGGATCCCTCATCCAGTGTGAGCTAAGACCCCATTTCCTGTGGGCTGTTTCCAGCCATCCAGTGAACATGGAGGAATGCTAGTAGGGCTGGTCCATTCTTGCCCAGGAGGGTTGATTTTGACTGAAGACAACCTGTGGGTCCTGCAGAAACTTCCTTAGAGTGGGACTGCAGTCTGGTATCCTCCCTCCTCAACACAGGGGTCAGGCCACATCACAGTCTAAAGCCTTCCCTGCCATCTCCTGTCCTTCCCCCATTTTGTCCTTCTGAAGTGTCCCCTCCTGTAAGTATCCTGCACTGTTAAACCCATTTTGCTGTTCATTTCTCATAGGACCTGAGCCAACACACAGGATAACAGCTACATCTATGTCCCTTCCCTGTCTCTTTATCTGTTGTATTGTCACCACCTCTTCACCCACCATGTCCCAACTCAAGAGTGGACTTGGGCCTTCTGGTGTCAGAGACATCTTTACCTTGTTTACGCCATCTGCCATGGCCTGAAGTGTGAGCTCTCGAGGCCCATCCACTGTCTTCCCGTTATCTGTAGGGCCCCACTAGCACTGTAGATGTCAATCAGTTGAGGCATGTGGCTGATGGAGGAGGCTTCGATGATGTCCGTCATGAATGGCTGGTCCAGCATCCGGATACCTGTGAACAGGTGTGAGCAGAGAGAACATCAGGTCTCAGGAGACATGAGGGTGGAGAAGAGCTTGGGTCCTGGGTATAGCAGGAAGAGTTAGTGACCTTGGATGCACTTGGGAACTTTGTGGAATCCAAGGATCAGAAAGGATGTATAGAGGATTCCACATACTCCTTTTTAGATTTCATTCATATCTTTCTTTATATAACTATTTGAAGAAAAAATTATTACTTTAACAAACTTTGCTGGAATTCCTTATGGGGAGAGGTCAACTTTGTTGAAGAGATTCCTTGATAAGCCTATTCTAAGTGGAAACTCAGCTGCCAGGGATTCAGTGTTGCCAAGGTTCATAAGAGAATTAAAGCATGACAGGTAGGGGAGGGGAATTGATATTTGATAGTTATGAAGAATTTCCAGAGAGCAGAGGGAAGGGGCAGAGGACAGGGGCAGGGGCAGGGACAGTACAGGAGTGGAATGAGGAAAGGGGAGTTCCAGTTCAGAGTAGCTGAGAGGAGACATAGGCGAGGACAAGAATGTTGAGTGGGTTATTCTAAATGGTGTTAGTAATGGGCTGTATCATACAGCCCTCTTTTTTACTCTCCCCATGGTATATTTGTGAATTTTGTGGTATTCTCTGTGCCTTGTGGGCATGACTTTTTGGTGGGAAGGAGCGGAGTCTGCAGTGCAGGACTGAGTGGGGGTAAACTGGAGCAGTGCGTAGGGACACAGGGAGAAGGGGTAAGGGCAGCCTCTATTCTACTGTACCCACAGTGCATATCACCCTTTAGTCATCCACAAGAAGACTCTCCAAGGATAACTCACCTGCAGTCAGTGGAATGGGCCTTCTGTCCACCACCACTACCCTCAAAATGTTGCCGATTGGACCATGCTGTTCTCTACAGGCTTTGTCCCCTTGATGTATCAGTTGATACATTATTCTGAGTGTTGTGAAGCCCACCTAAGTTTTGCCTTCCATGGGGGATTTAGGTGGTTAGATTATGGTTTGAGTGTGTCTTCTAAAGGTTAATGTGCTGGGAACTTAGTACTTAGTGACAACATGAGAGGTGAGACTTAGTGAGGGGAAATTAGGTCATTGACAGCACTGCCCTTGGAAGGGATTAATGCAGTTCTTATGGAACCCAACTTGGTTCTCATGAGAGTGGTTTTTTTTTTTGTTTTTTTTTGGTGGTGCTGGGGTTTGAACTCAGGATTTCATGCTTGCTAGGCAGGCACTCTACCACTTGAGCCACATGTGCAGCCCAAGAATGGGTTGTTACAAACAGAGCAAACCTGGATGTTCCCACTCTCTGGCTTCCTGTGTCGCCATGACATCTCCCTTTTATGCATTCTTGTCAGGATATCATCCACCATGAGGTCCTCACCAGAGACTGAACCAATGGGGCTGCCTGATCTTGGCCTTTCAGACTTCAGAACTGAGTTAAGCTTTTTTTCTTTTCTTCCTCTTTTGTGGCAGTACTGGGGTTTTAACTCAAAGCTTCACATTTGCTAGACAGGTGCTCTACCACATAAGTTATGCTCCCAGCTCTTTTTTGCTTTAGTTTATTTTTTCAGATATGGTCTCATGATTTTGCCCAGGGCCAGCCTAGGATGATAACCTCCTACCCCTACTTACAGATGTGCACCCCCAAGCTTGGCCTAAAAGTTTTCTTTATGCATTTCCCAGCTTCTGTTATAACAACAGAAACTGACATAATACTGGGATTATGGAATGAAGGGTCTAGACTGGGCACAGCCAAAATATGGGTCCTGACATTCCTTCCTTGTTACCTGTGGTCAAAGGAAATTATTACTCCAGTACATTATTTCTCAAGCATCACTCACTAGCAATATATGCAAATGTTTAGATAAGGACCACTCAGATTCCTCCAGGACATGAGAAATGGACATGCAATTTCTTTCTTTCCTAAAGGCTTATAAGTTTCAGACCTCAGGAGACCTCAGGTCTCAGTCCTCCACAGTGACCCAATGACCACCCCTTGTACTTGGATTGCAGTCACCCTCAGTGTACTCTTACCTATCACAGTGGTTGATTTGATGTTTTATATACCACCAGACAGCAAGGCCTTTGAGTACAGTGGATGCATATATTTTGTTCATTTCTGTGTCCCTGGGCATCAGCCTGATGCTTGGTACTTGTCTTAAGCATGACAAATATTTGGTGAATAAATGTTATTACTTTATTTAGTTGATTTTCAGCAGAAACAACAGGTTCAGAAGAACAAATAATAAGATAATAATAATAACTGTCCATTCTCTACCAGTGACCCATCAGTTAGGTCACCCTTTTTGCCAATAAACATCCAATTGTGAATTAACATCCTTCTTCTTGGAGGAAGCTTAGTTAGGATAAACCTAGTGTTTGGTTTGAACTTTTTGCAAGCTAAGTTTTATGGTTCAGTTTATACAGAGATAGGAAGTTTAAAACTCTACATTTTGCTTTGGTCCCACCTCTATTTTTTTATTTTAAAAATTATATAAAAGACAGCCGATAGGCTATGGAATAAACTGAGCACAGCTTTTACATATCATGTCTGCTCTGTGGATGGGAAATGAAGAGAAACCTGTGTTCACTTGACTGCCTGAGAAAGCTCATATGATCTTGAACTTGTCCGGATGGCCAGGACTAAACAACCCTCTCAATGAGAAAGTGGGAGAAATTCAAACCTGACCAAATGAGGCCTCGATTGTCCCACCAGCCAGCTAATGGCAGCTGGAATTTTGTCAAAGCAGGGATTTTGCAAGGCACCCAACTATGCCATGCACCCTCTTTCTCTTTGCAGCTCTGATCCTTAAGCCTCTTTCCCTCTTCACCCACCCCCATGGGCTCCCTTCATACTGCACAAGAACATAAGAACTGATGCATATTAATCTTCTGACTGCTCTAGCATCAAGGAGGCAGGGGTGGTCACAGACCAGGAACCAGGCTCATTTGTATTCCAGAGCCAGGCGCCTGATGTTTCTTTAATCGTGTTGAGCTCAGGAGGAATGAGGCATGCATTAATTGAATGGGATATAGTATTAATTTTGCAAGTGACCTGAGGGTTTTTAGGGAGGGTCTCTCCTTTGCCCCTGGGTACTCTAGGAGCCATGGGGTGGTGTGTGTAGAGGAAGATAGAGACAGATGTTGAAGGAGCTGGAAGTCAGTGTTGTCATATCTGTAAAACACTTTGGTTGATGGGATTTGATGGGTGAGGACAGACACAGATTGTACATTAAGCACTTCTGTCTAACTACAGTCCCCCAGGCAGACTCATATACCATATGAATGTCCAGCTGTGATCCCCCTCTTCCATTCACTTAGAGGCCTTACCTGCCTACCTGCTCAGCTGGCACCAGGTCTAGCTTTGGTACCATGGTGAACTGTGTGACCCAGTGGATTTGAGCTGAATCCTCTTCTCTGCTTCTGTTACCAAGGGTGTGACTTGTACGTGGCATGGTGCAGGCTATACCTCACCATCAAAAATTACCACTTTTTATGCTCATGAATATTAGCCCTGAAGGCTAAGGAGTGAGTTCACACTCATCCAGGTTTTAGGATTCAAAAACTCACCCATCATTGGGTTATGGTGATTTTTATTGGCTTGTTTAAAGTCTCAGATGAAATCTGTGTAACCTCGCTGAGGTGTTATAAGATTTATTGACCAACAATAATAATAATGACAAAATATATGAAAGGAATTTATTGTTGGTAGGAAAATTTCAAGGCATTTTGATAGTGATCAACAATGTGGTTTTCAAACTTTACAAAATCTGCTTTAAAATTATTTTCATTTTTAATAAGCATATAAAAATTGAACATTTATGGAGCACCCTGTGCTGTTCCCTATGATACACGTGTGCATTGTGTAATGTTCAAATCAGGGTAGGCATATCTGTTTCCTGAAATAGTCATCATTTCTTGTGTGGAAAATATTGATTGAAGGCAATCATGGCTCTACTTTTGGGGTGGCTCTGAGAGTTTCTGCAGAATCCCACGTCAGTGAGGAACTCTATGGAGCCCCACTCTCAAGTCTGTATTACTCGCTGATATCTTGCTCTATTCTGCCCCTAGTGCAAATTATTGTGTGATGTTATCTTGCCTATTGCTCATTGACTTGGTCTCCTAGTTTGTGAGCTGGTGTGGGGGCAGGGGCCTGGTCTGCTGGCTCACTATGCATCCCATCACTGAGACAGGCAGCCTCACATCGTCGTGGATTACAAAACTGGGCTGAAGGCAGCAGACAGAGTCTCCTAAAAGGTTTGGTGCTGTCTTCAGCTTTCAGAAGTAAAATCTGACAAAGTTGCTGGCAACACTATTGGGAATCTTCATGATTTATATTTATTGTACATTTATTTGGTTATATAAATTTTGAATAGCACATTAAAAATTTTTTGTCTTGATCTCTTTGGTCAAAGAGGTCAAACATTGATTTAAAAATTAAAATGAGAGAAAGGAAATGATTGGGTTCTTTTCTTAGTTACTTAAAAGCATTTTCAAAATAAAAAAAGAATCTTTTTCTTCAAAATTCATAAAATTAAAGACTTGGGTAAGGGAACATAAATAGGCTTTCAAATAATGTTTTTGTGAAATTATTAAAATGTCAAGACCACTCTAAGATGCTTGGGACAACCCTGTATGTCTGGGTCTCCATGTCACAGAGTGGTTACTCTTAAGGAGCCAGACACCTTTCCTCCCTCCCTGTGTGACATCCAGAAGAGATGGTAACAATAGGGGCCATGCAAACAGGCACCAGAAACCAGAGAGAGCTCATCTTACAGAAGGGATTTCCAAGAGTCACACACGTCCAAGGGCAGAATGGACATCACAGAAGGAAGTTAATGTCCTGTCTCTGAGGTGTGCAGTTCCACACTGACCCTGCTCCATCAGGAGAGGGGGAAAAGAGTTTTTCCAGCATAGGGACCAAGTGCAAAAGGATTCCAGAAATTACAAGTATGTGGGCTCCATATTTACTTTTGTTCTCTGTAAAAGAAGGATCATAATAAACAATATATGTCATATAGAATATATTATAGTAATGTGGTAGAATTGTAAAGAGCATTAAATGAGTAAAGGGTTTTATATTGTGCCTGACAAACAGGTAAGAGCCAATATATGTTAATTATTATCATCATTCTTATCAGTATTATAATTGCCATTTATGCAAGCATTAGTGGGTATAAGGACTAGAGAACCTTTAGAATCTTTTTGGATTCCACGATTTTGAGATTATGATAGGTAAATGGAAAAGGCAAGCTCCTGGAATGCTACACACTATTTTCAATACCTGAATGACATGTGAGGTTGGTAGATGGTCTCAGTGCTCTGTTACCCTGGAGCATCCAAGATTCTTGTGTAAATGTGCCTCTAGTCTGACTTCACTGCCAGACCCTGTGTAGCTCCTATTGATATGCTGTTGGTGCTGATTTAGGACAGCTCCATGGTACCCTTGAGAGGGAACTAAGATGAAGGATTAGGGAGGCTTGGGTCTCCTTGGAACAGATCAAATTGGGATGAAGTAGCAAAGGTGAGCTAGTACTGATAGAGATGTTTTTACATCCTGGATGGAAATTCCATTGGCTTTGAGTCCTTAGATTGTTAATTTCCTAACTCCATTGATCCACCCATTCTCTCATTCAATTATTAATCTCTATTGTGTATTAATGGACTGGCTTATCCATATCTACTATTCAGCCAACAGGGTTTGAGCATCCATCCTGAGCCAGACCCTGATATAGGTGCTGCAGCAAGAGCAAACAGACAGGGCCTGCCTTCACAGGGACTGTTGTCTGATGGGAACAATGATAGTAATCAAATAGCCATACATGGGATGGCTAATTTTATGTGTCAATTTGGCTGGATAAAAGAATACCCAGAGAATTGGTAACACATTGTTCAGGTGTGGAGGTGTTTCCAGGAGACTGCATGTGAGTGTGAGGAGACTTAAATGGGAAAGATCTGTCCTCAATGCGGGCAGGCACATTCCAGTCAGAGGCCCCATCAGAGCAAAAACAGAGGGAAGGCAATTTGGGTTTCCTCTCTCCTGGAGCTGAAGCACACTCTTCTCCTGGTCTTGGAAATTAGAACGCCAGCTTCTGTGGCTTTTGAACTCTAGGACTTATACTAACATCCTGTGTGTTCTCAGACCTTTAGATTTGGACCAAATCACATGAGCAGCATCATCCCCAGGTCACCAGCTTGCAGATGGCTCTTCATGAGTTTTCCTAGCTTCCATAGTCACCTGAGCCATGCCAATCCCCCCATGTAAATTCCTTTTTATCTATCTATCCATCTATCTGTCATCTATCTATTATCTCTCTCTAATCTTGATTAATAAAATGCACAAAAATATACAATAACCAACAGTAGTATGCTGGGAAGGAAAAATTTAGGGCACTTTTTTATCAAATACAGCTGAAGAAATTGGCCAGAGAGGTGATATTGGAGGAAGCAATGGGGCATCCTTACAACTGAAGAAAGAAGAGGAGATGGCCAGGTAAAGCACAGGGAAAGTGTTCTGGGCAGAGGAAAGAGCATATACAAAGGTCTGGGAGAAGAGTAATGGCTAACTTGTGTTTTCTCAGAGATTGACCCATGTATATATGGGAATTTAGTGTGCAACGAACAATAAGTAGATCACAGTGGCAGGGCTTTTTGCATAGATTGTGTTTGGAAGATTGGGTCCCGGTATGGAAAAAAACAAAGCTGGGTCCTCAGCTAGCACCACACATAAGGGGACAGCAGATGGACTCATGACCTCATGTGAAAGTTATGGAGCAGATATTTTCATTGGCTAAAGGCTATGTTACATCAAGAATGCCTAAAATGAAAAATGAGCCAAGGAACCCAACAGGTAACAAGCACATGAAGAGCTGTTCAATCTTTAAAAAAAATTTATTTTAAAGCTGGGTGCTGGTGGCTCACACCTGTAATCCTAGCTACTCAGGAGGCAGAGATCAAGAGGATCATAGTTTGAAGCCAGCCTGGGCAAATAATTTGTGAGACCCTATCTTGAAAATACCCAATATAAAAAAAGGACTGGAAGGGTGGTTCAAGTGGTAGAGTGCTTGCCTAGCAAGCATGAGGCCCTGAGTTCAAACCCTAGTACTGCCCCAAATAATTTTTTTTAACCCAAGTTCTCAGAGTGTAGCCAGGTTGACCTTCATTTTTCGATTCTCCTGTCTCAGTCTCCCAAGTGCTGGGATTACAAGAGTGTCCCACCCTGTGTGACTAGGCTTTTTATTTGTTAGACTGGGTTAATAAAGACTTTCACATAACTGCCAGTGCCTCTCTCTTGGAACATCCTGGAGACTGCCAAAGACCAGCAATGATCTCAGTTGGCCACCAGGTGGCGATTTAGCCCTCCCTAGATCAAAAAGCTCTAGAAAGGCAGATTGGAATAGTTTTTAGAGAGTAATAAAACACCAGGCAACTTTCAGAATTGTTGGCCTAAATGGGTAAAATATCTGCATCTCAAATTTGTAAGGCTGAGGAGCCTGAAACTCTGCTTTTGTTTGCAATTTTTGAGTAACTGTGGTTCCCTCAAGTGGAATTCCTTTGACCCTCCTGGGGTGTCCAGATGCCGGAGGCTCTAGAGGGCATACCCAGTGCTTGGAAAGTTAGAACTAGAGCAGGTGGCCACAAAGAGCAAAGCTAGGCTTTGGGGAATGACAAAAAGGAAAAAGGAAGCTGGCTTGCCCAAAATCTCTGTGATTGGGCACAACCCCTACTTGTTCTGTTCTGGATTGCTGTGAGGCCTGAATATCCCAGCTGTGTCTGAGACATCAGGCTTCATTCGGCAGGGGAGGCAGAGCCTCCTTGGGCCACCCTGATCTCTGCTTGGGGGCATTCTCTGATGAGCTCTGAGCAGGACATGAACAGGTGAGGATGTTCCCAGCCCAGGACCACCCCCATGGGAGTTGGTGGATTAACTTCCTGGGCTCCTCACCTTGATGTTGGGGGACCATTCTGTGGGATGTCACCCATAGTTCTGAGCGCACCAGTAGGGCCGAGCCCCTGTTACCCATGAGACTTACCACCTCATTAATCTACCCTTAGTTGGCTTCCCTCCCTTGGCTGTCTTCTTCCCCCATGTCCCACTGGGATGTCTTGGGATCACCTCCTTCAAAAACTGCTTACACTCAAATCCTTGTCTTAGGTTTTGATTTTTAGGGAATCCAAACTAAGACAGATACTGATGAGCAGCTCAGATGTTTTCAGAGTGCAAGTCGTAACAGAGGAAAGAAGAGAGAAAAAATAAAGAAAAGAAGGTGACAATAAAAAGAAACCCCCCATGCACTTCCAGAAAGCCACCAGCTAACTCTTTCAACTTTTGCAGACTGTTGTTCTACAAATCACTTTGTTCAGAAGAGTCAGTTACTTTGGTCATGTACAACCTTCAGAACTATTCTGAAGACAATCATTGTGAATGAGAAATTCGGGTTTGAAATTTTCAATTGCCTCTAGATCTGTTCTGTGAGTAAAGAACCTGGCTGGCCTCAGACAGGTATGGAGGCTGGCTTATAAAACATTAACTAAGTGCTACTCTTTCCCCTGAGCTCATAATGGCTCCTGACATTTTAATGCCAGCCTTTTGGATGCACGCAGAGTAAAAAGAGCTAAAACCCAAGGGGCAAAACTTCCTTGATTTTCATTTCAGAAATCTCCAAATGTATTCCTTGTGAAATTCTGCACCCGGCTCAGGCAAGTCTCAGCTAACTGTGTTGAAAGCCGTTAATGGTGGGCTTGTAGAGGTTACACTTATCTTATTTAGGCTCCTGGAAATGCAAGTGTCAGCACAAAGTAGGTTTATGGCTCCATTAAATTGCTGGGAAAAAATATCAAGACAGTTGTTTAAAAAAAAAAAAAAAAAAAGAAAAACAAAGTTGGGTGACTCAGCCCGAATAAATTAAGAACCAATTTGATGCAAAACTTGGCACGAGCCACTCCATTCTCGGGCATCTTGTTGAAAACTTAGGACTCTTTCTTGCTCTGTCTCAGTCTCCATCCATCTGTGTCTGTGTCTGTGTCTGTGTCTGTGTCGTCTCTCTCTCTGGGTGGATGTGCTGGTTTGTAAATTCCCAGTGACTTGCCACTCCCATTTACATGGCTGTAGCTTCTGTAGAGAGGAAGTTGTTAAATATCCAACCCAATGAAACTTCATGAAAGGTTCTAGGTAGAATATATCTTCTTAAAGATGAGATAGAGTGTGCAGAACATTTGGAAGGGCTCTGAGCATCCTTACAAATAATTTGCACATACCTGTTTTTCTTATACAGCCTATATTTGAGACTCATTAAAATATTATTGATGGCTGGGTGTGGTGAAACACACCTGTAACCTCAGCACTTGGGGAGCTGAGACCTGTGGCTAGCGAGTTGGAAGCCAGTCTGGGCTAAATAGCAAGGCTCTGTTGCAAAGGTTCAAAAACCGGAAATCACTTTTTTTTTTTCCTGCTAGAAAATAAGATCATGGTTACTCTTGGGCTTATAGGTGGGAACTAGGGAGCATGAGGAGAGCTTTGGGGGCTGGTTAAAGTTTTGTTTTTTTGGTTGGTTACATGGGTGCTGCCTTTGTGAAAATTCATTGAGAGGTGTCTATGATCTGAGTGCTTTTCTGTGTTTTTCACTTCAGTAAAAAATTTAAAAATTTATTGCTATGCAAGTTAAAAAATATCTTCACTCTTGCTCAATTTATGGACCATAGTTCTCTGATCTAGTAGAATTTTTTTTTTGGCTAGGCCCTGCCAGGCTGGGCACCAGAGTGTGACAGCTTGTGGAGCTGGCTGCCCAGCATGGGCACCTGCTGTTTGATGCGACCAGCTTACCTGCCACCTTGGAGTTGTATGCTACCCCGACCCCACAGATATTGTTGTTAGCGGCAGCTGAAACTTCTCCTGCACATCGGGTTCCATGGCTGTGGAAAAAAATAAAGAGGTGACTTCAATCCTATCAGCTGGAGACAATTTGATTCTTTTCCATGGTTCATCTGGGGTTGAGCTAGCCTGTGGGCCACCTGATTTTCTGTGTGTATACCAACGTCCTCTTTCATCCTCCCCACTCTTACCAACAGCCTTCTTGACCTTGGGTTGTTTCTTTCATAAAGAGGGTTCTAAGAACATTTTCAACTTAAATGTTTGATCTTTACTTTAAAATGTGAAGTATCTTCCTGCAGAAAGCACACATTCAGGTTTTCTTAAAAATGAAACACTATAAAACAGCTGTGTGCTGCTAGATCCACTCTGATGTTCCGAAGTACTAGAATTGTGGGCCGGTATGTGTTTTCAAGGGCATTTCAGCACACAGGGGTGCAATGCGTCAGTTCCTGACGGGATGGTGGTCACTTCCCTTCTTTGGGTCTTAGCCTCCCTTGAGGACCTATTGAATGCTACAGATCCCTACTTTTGCCCAGAAATTAAAAAAAAAAATCATACACTGGCAACATTTTGCATACAATTTCAAGGGCTCTACAGAAACCCTGAAGCTTAAGAACCCCTGGCATTAGGTGAGCTCTTCAAGACTTGCTTGATTTTAAATACTGACAAGGCCTTTTCAGAGCTCATGTGCTATAAATTGGATCTGGAATGTCCCTCTCAATGCCCTTGTGTTAAAAAAGTTAAAAGGTCCTCAACATGTTATTGAAAGCTGGTGGAAATTTTAAGAGATGGGGCCTAGTAGGAGGTCTTCAGGCCCAAAGGGATTTATGGGATCTCAGTCTTCCTTCCCCCTTTCTCTTTTTGCTTCCCAGCTGCAGTGAAGTGAACAGCTTTGTTTCACTGCACACTCCATGCTGTGATTTTTCTGTCTTATCACAGACCCAAAAGCAACACAATTAACCAACTATGGACTTAAAACCTCTGAAACTGAAAGTCAAAATAAATCTCTTCTTTACACGCTTATCATCTCAGCATTTTGTTATAGTAAGAGAGCTGACTAGCACATCATGTTCTAGAATGTTCTCTGCAACAGACATTGTAATTCCATTAATTTTCCCCTTTTTGCTCTTTTCTCCTTCCAAAGTGTTCTAAAAAGTTCAAAACAGTTCCTCTCCTCCTATGTGCATTTCTCCTCCTTGAATTGGGCTGGTTTAGTGATTTGTTTGACCCAGTCTGCTTCCATCCCTGGAACCCCACAGAGGAGCCTATAGTGTTGGGCAAGTCTGCAAAAATATGGAGCCGTTGGGAGACAGTGACAACTAGCATCCTCCTCAGCTCCACCCACCTCAGATGAGATGTTCCATGTGCCAGGGGAGCCGCCTTCATCCTCTAGCCCTAGACAGATTACCGGTCCAGCAACGTGTGGAGAGAGGCCACCCTTGCTGAGCTTTGCCCTCCTCCAAGGGCTGTGAGCAAATACATGTTCTGTTTTAAGCTGCTGCATTTTGGGGTTTGTGAACTGACAACAGAAAACTGAAACAAGGATAAACCCAACTCAGTGAGAAGACTGTGTCTTAACCCCCAAACAGCATTGAAGACTTGGAAGATCACGGTTCAAGTCGTCTGAAGTTGGCAGCCCTAACCCTCAAAGGTCTGCGTTAATGGTCCAGGGATCAGCTAAAGGACTGAAGGGGCCACACAACCAGTCTGTTGGAATTGCGTGAGCAAGGCCTACTGAGGGGCCAGGTGGCAAGCACTGGTGGAAGACTAGGAGATTGTGGCACTAAGGGGCATACTGGCTGCATATCTGTAGGAGTTTATGAATTATAGTGTTGACTCAAGTACTGTTTGGGGCATCCTCTAAGGGCAAGGTCAGCTATTGCACTAGCCCTTAAAAATCATATTCAAAGGTGGAAAAAACACCCCAAATTTTAATATATTAAAATACTTATGAAATTATTATCCAAATGCTTATATATAATATTCAAATATATTCATAACAATATTTATATTATAATATAAATTATGAAAACAAATTTATTTATGTAAATTATAATCTATTTATCCTTATAAATATATTTGGATATTCATTATATATTATAAATATGTATAATTTCCATAACATATTTACATTTATAGTTACATCTTTTTTTTTCCTCATGTGAGCAAAAGTTAATCCTGTCTCTGTAAAGGTTTCTTATCTCATGAACTCAAAATTCTCTTTGGAACAAGAATGAAATCTGTTTCATGTCCATGTAAACTCAGTAGTCACCCCAGAGTTTGCCCTTGTGTTAAAAGATCAGTGAAAACTTCAAGGGCTGAGCAAATTATTATCCACTTGTCTTTCAGGTTTTCAGAAAGCACACTGAGGTTTTGAGGGGGCTCTTAGTTATGGTTTAACTTGATGGGGGAGTGTATCATGGATATGGCTTTCCTGACCACTGTGTACTCCAAATGCTAAAGAAACTGCTAAAAAAAGTGCTGAGGAAACAGCAGGAAGCTCACACATACATATACTACAAAAAGAAATGTACAGACACTTTATAGTGAGTCATATGTTCTTAGAGTGTGTGTACTTAAGTATATATTTGTGCCACATCTATGCATACATTTTAAGTTATATACTTATATATTTATATGCAACATATACTTATACATTATATATTCATCCAAATATAAAGTGCATACATATTTTATATAGTGTACATATATTATATTTACATTTTTCTATTTTTTTGTTTGTAATGACACGATTGTACATATTTATGGGGTACAGTGTGATAATTTTATGTATGTAAATAGTAGTACAATGTATAATGATCAAATCAGGATAATTAGCATCTCTCTCTCCTTAAACACTTATTATTGTTTCTTTGTGTTGGGAAACTTTGAACTCCTCTCTTCTAGTTATTTATGAAATATGTCATAAGTGATTGTGAACTCTAGGCCTCCTTCTGGGCAGTAGAACATTATAGAACTTATTCTTCATATGAACTGTATTTTGTAACTGTCATCTAGCCTCTCTACCCTTCATAGCTTCTACTTTCTATCTCTATGATATCAACTTTTTTAGCTTCCACAGAATATACTCATCAAATTTGGCTTCCTCACTAGCTGTTTTGTTCACATGGAACAAATAAATATTTAAATAAAAACTTAAAAAAATCAATCCCATGTCTAATTGACTAGCATTAATTTCCTTATTACTTAATAATCAACCTGGACAAGTTCCCATTTCCAGGGCCTGAAATGTACACTTGAAGCCTTGTCTGTAACAGTCACCACTTTCACTGACCACAGACATGTGATGGAGGCCCCATCATGTGTGGATCCCTGTGGAGCATGTAGGTGACTAAAGAGAGAGCCCGGAAGAAGCAGAGCACTTTGTTTGCCTTGATCTTTTAGTTCTCATCAGAGGGCTGTGAGTAGGCACTGCTCCATGCTACAGATGTCCAAGCTGAGTCTTGGAGGGAGGGATAAAGGACCTGCTCAAAGCACACAATGAAAAAGTGACTGGGTCAGGTGTGAGACCAGCGCCCCAATACTGGACCACCACAATCCTTTCTTAAGGTGAAGGGTCCATCCTGGCCTCAAATGGCTCTCTAAAGACTGGAGGGCTTATACCTGTGAGCTGGGCTAGGAAATTAAAGACAGTGAGTCATGTATGTTTAATTTTGGAGAGGTATGTCATGGGCTTTCGAAAGGAACATATGAAAAGACACAATTTATTGCTGAATTAGGCAGCAATAATTAATGATCAACAAATGGACACCATGTGTCTTTGCAACCTGGGCCTTTGTGTGTTCTGCTCCCAGTGTCTCAAATGTCTTGCCCTCTTGAAATTTTTTTTTTTTTTGGCAGCACTGGGGTTTGAGCTTAGGGCTTCACACTTGCTAGGCAGGCGCTCTGCCACTTGACCACTCCACCAGCCCTGTCTTGCCCTTTTGATCACCTAAGCAATGGCACTTGCTTCCCTGAATGTCAGGAAAATCTTTTTCAAGTCCATTTTCACAGGGCCACTTTACTTTCTTAAGAATCTCAGTAGCTTCCTCCCTAGAACTGAGCCTAAGCCTTCGAGGAGGGAAGAGCTGTAGCAGGTGAGGGAAAACACTTGTGGCATGGCCTGCCCCCTAATAAAGGTCAATGGGAGGCAAGTGACCAGGGTCATGGGTATGCTGCATTGCCAAAGAGGCCACAGTGCACCACTTTCCCAGATTCATGCTCTTGACAATTTGATGCTCTTGTTCCTCCTATGAAGAGTTGACATGTATTTTCCCTGACCTTGAATCTGGACGGGGTTGTAACTTGCTTTGGCCAAAAGAATGTGGTAGAAGTGGTACTTTCTCTTTCTCTTGAAATTCTGCTTGTGGGCATTTGAACAAGCCCAGGTTAGCCTACTGGATGATGAAAGACATGCAACTTGTCATGCTTGTCACTCCATCTGACAGCCATCATACTCCAGACACATGAGTAAACCCATCTTAAGCCAGAAAGCCCCCAACCTACCAGTTGACCACAGAAGCCAACAGAATTGTCCAGCTGACATAATTATCCAACATTTAGTATTGTCAAACTGCCATTTCTGCTTACCCATTTGAGGCAGAATGGTATTGAATTTCACTTTGCATTTTTCTCATAACTTGTCAGGTAATCTTTGAAGTACATATACACTGTAGAATGGATGGTAATCTACTGATTAGCACACGCACACTTCATACAGAGCAATGATGTTTATTGTTTTAAGCTACTGACTTGTTATGCAGCATTATTAAGTAATAGAAAATTGATACAATAGATAAGAAAGTTAGAGAGACAATTCTGGTTCACTGTGGGGAGTTGGAGTTCCAACCTGGACTGTATTGGGCTTTCCTGGACAGTCTGCATTGGCCCTTAGGGTGTCCTACTGAGAACTTGAGGTGCTGTCCCCAGCCCTGCAGATGTTCTGAGAGACAGAACAGGCACACTATTTCCTTCCACTCTGCTGGCCTTTGTACTAGAAAGATTCTGTTTTCTCTCTTGTCTTTTCTTGCCCAGAGCATGG